GGTTATTTGTATGTGTGAGTGTGTATGTATGTATGTATGTGTACATGTGTGTGTGTGTGTGTGTGTGTGTGTGTGTGTATGTGGGTGTGGGTGTTTGTGTTTGTGTGTGTGTGTGTGTGTGTGAGAGTGTGTGTGAGAGAGAGACAGACAGAGAGAGAGAGAGACTGGTTTGTTTTATAGCTCTCTGCACTCTGCGTTTTTTTTTTCGCTGCGAAACAACAGTTTTTGTCTTTTGATGCTCTTCTGTTTCCCCTACACACAAATCTTCAATTGTCCTCCCCCCCACCCCTCAGGGTCTGTCCCCGAGGTCATCGCCCGCTACGTGGTACAACAGCACCTGAACCCAGCATCTCTCTTCTACAACTACCACAGCCAGGAGAACGTGGAGCCCGATGATGGAGAAGAACAGTCCGGAGATGGGGACAAGGAGAAGAAAGCTGGTGATCAGAACGAGGCTGCGAAAAATGAGGAGGACTCACTCTCGGAGGAGTCGATGGAGGAGAAGATCAGGGATATGTCGCAGTCGGACAGAGTGAAATGTTCGTGTTTTTCGGTGTTCATTATTTTATTGTATTAAAAAATTATTTTTTAAAATGTAAATAATTCAACCCTTCATCAAAACAATTTAGATCATTTAAGAGATGGGCTGCTTAGACCTTTTCTGTCTGGGCCTACCCGGACTGATTGGGATTCAACATTCCAGCAGACAGAGGGAGATGCGCAATAAAATAACTGCTCCATGTGGGAATTTCACTCACTTCTTCTGCCTACAATGATGAAGATTCTTAACCATTACAGATACAGGTGATTAAGTGTGAAAAAAATGTGACTTATATTAACCACGTCTCACATGTTTTAAAAAAAATTCTACCTTTTGATCATAAGTACAATTTTTGATTAATAGTACGCACACACGTGTTCTATTTTTAGGTTAACATTCCTTACATTTAAAAGAATACTGTGACATATTTTTAAAACTTGTATGACTCAATGGGTATTGTTGATAAACATAAGTGATATCAAGCTGAAGACTCTTCTTGTTTTAGGTTATACTTATTATGCTATTCTGATTTTTAAAAATGAGCATTTTAGACTTTTTAAACTTTGTTTTTCCTGTTTCAGATCAGCTTGAGGAGTTAAGACAGAGGTTTCCGCACAGTCTGCACAATGACGTCCTTCTGGCCAACTGCTGCTGGGAGTATGCTGTGGGCTGGAACAAGAACCCTGAGGTTTGTATTTCTAGTTGTATGGGAGGTCCCTTTAACATTGTACGCTATTTAGGAGTCTGGACCTTTAAATTGAAAATTCATATCTGTGGGGAACGAATTAAGTAGACAGACTTGAAAAATCTGCCTGGCAAATTAAATTCAAGAATGAGAATGCTCCATTTGGGATTGAAACCAGTATTATTACAAGACGGATGAACAGGTTGTTGTTCAGATTGCTCTATTATTTTTTAAGTTTTCTTGTAGATCCTTACATTACTTGAAGTGAGGATTTTTGGGGGGCAGGGGGGAGTATTGTGTCCTCTGTGATTTAACTTCAACTGATACAGCTCTACTTTCACTTTCAGTATCTTTTTAAAAAATCAGTTCACAATCTCAAGTTGTGGCTCACTATACTTTTTGTTAAAGTTGGAACGAATTCCTCCTTTCTCAGGAATAAAACATAAATCCCCTCTTTCAATTTCAGAAGACCCAGAATTTGGAACTGTCACTGGAGTTTCTGCGACTGGTACATAATGCAGTGCTGAGGCAAGGTACAGTGTGCACTTTTGTAGGAGTCCGTTAAAGTTCTTGTGACTTTCAACAGCCTTTTTTGTTCCTGATTTAAGATAAAAATGGAATATATGTGACTATCAATGTATCTGTATTACCAGCCCGCACCTTCCCCCCCCCCCCCGCCCCTAAATTATAATCAATGTAATAACAATAATAAAGATGTTAATAACAATATTTAAGATAATAGTTGTAATGGTAGTAGTAGTAATAGTGATAAGGATATTAGCAAAACAAATAATTTTTTTTTAGCTTGTGCTTCAAATGCTACTGAAATTTTTTTGGGTAACTTATTGTTATTAACTCTTTGTTGTACCATGCTGTTTTGTGTTTGTGAGTTGTTAGAGGGTCCCACTTCTTTTTCTTCTCTCTATCGTTTCTTTCCGTCTATCTTGCCGTAAATGTGCTTCACTTTGCTCACACTTGAAACTGGTTTGTGTTCTGTTTCAGGTGTATCCAGTCTGTTGTGGCACATGTTTGTTCGGAAGAAAGTTTCTGCTGCCGCTCACTTGATGGAGAAGGTGTGTGGTGATACATGAAATTATAAAACAAGTTAAACATCTCCATCGACACAGTATTTTTGTGTAATTTAGGAGGTGGGCCACCTTGACACTGTCTTTCAGGATTGCCAACCTAGGCCGCAAGATACTTGATGAAACTGGCTTTCCCTTGAGGGAATAGAACTCGCGTTTTTTGCACGCAAGACGAAGAGCCTGACTTTTACCCGTCAGGTGCTTGGAGTCAAATCCAATGTGCTGCTGGTCTGTTTAGCATGTCAATACTGAATGATTTTATTATGATTTGATGATGTATTGAGACAGTTGGTGTGGTAAAGAACTGTAATGTCTGTCACCTTCTTTTGTTTGTTTTGTCTTCATACAAGTTTGACAGCCTACTAGACAGGACTAAGTTGTTATGATAGTGGATTTCTTGTCCCAGTGGAATGAGGAAAGAGAAGGAAGACAAGAAGTGACAAAGTATATTCTGAAGTACCTGTCATACTTGTGTAGATGTTCACATACCTTATTCTGCTGTTATACCTCTTTTCTTGTGTCTTGTGTTCAGGAGGGGGGAGGAAGGAGCGTAGAAAAGTGGAGGTGGAGGAAGCTTGGGAAGAAGAGGGATGGGAGGAAGCAGGGGATGAGATGGGAGGAAAGAAAAAAACGGAGGAGGTGTGGGTGGGGAGAGGAAATATTGATGGAGGAAGGGGGAGAGTGAGAGAGGAGGATGAGGCGGGGGAGGGGGGGTTATTGAGGTAGGGAGAGGATGGGAGGAGTAGGAGAGCAGGTGGTGGAGACGCCTCCTGAACTTTGTCAATGTAATGAAACTTGCCATCTGTAAGAGTTAGTGTAATACCTCTGTATCTGAGTGTATGGAGAAATCCGGAACATGTATTGAATTTGAAATTTAGTCAATATTTAGGTTTTACCCTGTGGTATCTGCAGTTGGTAAATAAGTCTCTGTATCTGAGTGTATGGAGAAATCCGGAACATGTATTGAATTTGAAATTTAGTCAATATTTAGGTTTTACCCTGTGGTATCTGCAGTTGGTAAATAAGTCTGTGAGACTCGGAGATAACGTGAAAACTTAATAAGCTGAAAAACTGATTAGCTCCATCTTGAGCTGGAGAAATACTTCAGGTAATGACAATGAGTTATTTGTTTGTCCTTTATATTTGCTTTTAGAAATGTATTAGAGAAACATTTAATTAGGACAAATTGTTTTTAGTCAAACAGTAGTAATGTAATGAAGTAAAGTGTTTGGATTAAGTTTTTAAGTGAAAAGTTAAAATATTAATAACTGTTCTCTAAGAATTATGAATAGTCAGTGCTGCGTAGGTCATTTAGAAAAAAGAAGCACTCTGTCCTTTTTCCAGACATTGGGTGGAGAGGAATGATAGTCCTGAAATGACAAGAAATATTTGAATATTGAAATTTGGCATGTAGGCCTAGTTTGCAAACTGACTGTGGTTGAATGATGGACTTGTTATCATTATATCTGACTGTGTTGGCAGGTTGGTAAGCCCCCCAAGGACAGGCTGTGCAGAAAGGTGAGGCTGTGTTTAGGTTAACTCAAAGATTTGTTCTCATAAGAAAAATGAATAACTAAATTGTATTTTACTTATTCATTTTGGGGCGGGGCGACCGTGACACAGTACTTGAAGATGGATCTCTTTTCTATTTGAGACGTAAAAAAAGTTTTTCTCAGTTGCATTGATGGCTACATTTCTATTGTTGCATCTAAGGAACTATTATTGTGGAGGGTTGCTCCTTGTGTGCCAAGAAAAGGAGCAAAGATCATGTGCCAAAGATGCTTCTTGTAGAAATGAAGAAAAATGTATCTGTTAGCACTTAAGGTATCATGTAGTCACACAGTTGCATGCAGATAGCAGAAGAGGCTTTGTTGGGGGTCAACCTATCTTGTAGGGAGCGCTCTTTGATTTGGTAAATAGATTAGGAGATAAAGAATATAGTATTTCTGTTGATCCATATGAAACCTTTTTATTTAGTTAAATTAGAAATACAGTATGTATTCATATAAAATAATTCAACAGTGTCACATGATACATAATTTCACACCATTACAGACAGTCTTATGAATATGCCATTGTTGGTTGCTGCTGTGCACCACTCTATTTTTGAGCTAGGGTTATTGTATTTTGCTTAAGGATACACCCTAGTAACTACTCACTTAGACTAGTTATGTGATATTACTGAAACTTCTCAATTTGACAACAATTGTTTTCCTTCTTGTAAAGTAACTGTGTTTTTCAAAACTTCCTCTTGAATAGCAATATCTTAAAATAAACGCACTAAAGTAGTGATGTGTAACAATATTATGCTCTCTTCTAAAGAATGTTTTAAAATTTGCACCTCAAAGTAGCGATGTTTTACAATGCTTTCTCGAAGAAAGTAATGATTTTTTAATACATTCCACAAAGCAGCAATGTTTTATGATCCTTCCTCAAAGGTAACGAATGTTTTTTTATAGAGAACTTTTTTGAAAAAGAAAACATTTTACAACTCTTTCGGTGTGCAATAACTTTACTCAGTCTATGGGATCAATAGTCTTAGATGATATTTTGTTTTCAGTATTTTGTGAGTTGTAAACTTTTACAGTATTTTTTCTATTGTTACATTTTACAGTAGTTCTGCTATACTATCAACCTAATGTCAGTAATTTCTGTCTGGCTTTTGCAGGAAGTTCACATCAGTGACACTGCTCTTGTCACCTTCATCTCATTGTGCTCGGACTTTGTGGAGATCATCATGGACGTGAGTGCTTTCTGATTGCACCTTTCACATATTGCAGAATATTTTTGCTTTTTTGTACAAGGATAGCACTAGTAGCACAGCTGTTAATGCGCAGAGCTCATAGTCAACCTTTCTGATTCATCACATTTTTGCATTCCCTAGTATGTGCATGTGTTTGTGTGTGTGTGTGTGGGGGGGGGGGGGGAGGAGGAAGAGACACACATTTATCTTTACAATCCATGAGACCAGTTCTCCAAACATTTCTCTCCCCTCCAGGTGAGGACTTTTTCGTTTTCTCTGTAGCTATGTGTGGCTATGATTGTTATCATGAATTATGTGGCGGTAAAAGACTTAAATCATGCGATCTTGGCATTAGAAGGCCATCCTAAAGCCATAGCTGGAATGGCCTCTCCTCTTTTTATCGGAGTATCATTATCTATTAGACATTGTTCTAGCATTCTGTAAGTGTGGGTACATTGCGACCTCAGTGCTTTCTTTTCGTATCTCTATTTTTTTTAAATATGGAAAATGTGACTTCTTCTTAAGCTCACTCTTTGTCATGAACTGTATTCACTGTTGTTAAAAATGGAGATACAGCAAGAAAGCACTGAGGTCGCGACAAAGACCCTGTCTTTGATGCTTCTTCCATTTCTTGCAGGCCAACTGCGAGGCCAATGAGGTGCCAGTGTGTAACATGGAGCCCGCCTGGCAGAAGGTCCAGGGCCCGGCCTCCCTGCTTGAGCTGGCCATCGACCAGAAGGCCACCAACTATGGCCTGCTCAAGGTGCACCAGCACCTGCTCAAGATCATGTCTGCCATGCTCACGCTGGGCATCAAGTCCGTCAAAGTGCTCAGTCTCTTTGACAACAAGGTACTGTGGCCTGGCCAGCTTATGACTGGGTTGGGCATCTAGATAGTGCGGGCAGGGGTGTGGTTGGTAATTTGAAATTTTGAGATATTAATATTTGTGAGAACTGGTGTGGTCAGTCTCTTTGATGCTCAAATGTTGACACTGTTTAAGTTGAAGGGTCAGCAGTATTAACCTTGTGAGTACTCGGTTTGGAGGGGAGAGGTTAGTGCAAAGTAAACATTTGTCGATTTAAAAAGGAAATTTATACTTTTGAATATTTCATGTTTGATTAATGTTTTCCAAAACAGAAAATGTAATTAAGCTGCTGTTTGTTAGCTCGATCGATGGCCATGTTTTTGATGGTTTTGTTTGTAGACTTCTCTCATCTTGACCCAGAAAATACCCCCCCCCCCCAAAAAAAAAATCAAAAAAAAATCAATCAAATAAAGCGTTAAACATTTTTTTCTTCTAATTGTTAAATTGAAGCTATCATTTTAGATCAGATTTTCAGCAGAGCAGTATGGAAAGTTTGTGTTACCATGTGTTTCTTTTTTTTCCAGAAATTTCAGCATTTTAGGAATACAATGACATGTTTCGCTAGTGGAGAAAGAGTATAATTATGTAAGACTTAATTTTATTCAGATTGCATTAAGGTGCTTGTTGAAATGAATTAGCTTACGTTATCAGTATAAATCCCCAGAACTGTTTTTATCATCTTTTTCATCATTTTAAAGATGTAAATGGATAGTGTCTACCTGTTGACGATTGTGTTGTTCTTCAAAACAAATGAGCGTTGCTTTCTGAAAATTCTAATGTCTTGTTTCCTTTTCAGGGGAGAGCAGCACTGTTTAAAGAACTTCACTCACATCCTCTGTTGCCAAACCAGAAAGTTGAACATGAACTTTTCCTTGCACGACGTTCGGTACGCATATATAAGCTCGTATTGACATCACTATCTTGGAGTTTTGCATTTTCTTGATTAAAGAAAAGCGAGAATGTTGTGGAATTTTATTGAAACTTGTTCTTTTTTCACTTTTAAAAATACAATCCGAAAGTAAAAAGTTTCTTATCATCACAATTTATGTGTGTGAATTTAAGTTTCGGATATATGTGTAAAAAAGGGTGCAGCATTAAAGATGGGATCCTATGAGAGGAGATGAGATGAGATAGAGTGAGATTAGATGAAGTAAGAGACTTGTCTCATCTAGCTGGAGTGTTCATTCTTTGTCTGCAGTAGGTATGCTGTATACAGATACCAATACCTGCGCTCGATCACTTTATAAACTAGTCATACGCTTAATTGTAAGCATGCATGATTTTTCTGACATGTACACAAACATCCCAACACCCACTCACCTGCACACACACACTCATTCACAAACATGTGTTTACAGTGGAGTTTGCTAAAACTGAAATCTGATGGTTTTTCTGTATTTTAGTGTGTGTGTGTGTGTGGGGGGGTGGGGGTGGGGGGAGGGGAATATTGGTTTAAAGAGGTTGCTCAAAAAGAAGATTTTCGATTAACTTTGTTCGCTTTAAGCAGTTGCCACTGTATATATGTACACATTCACATATGGCTATACAGACTATTACATGCTTGTCAATGAAGATATCGGCACATTCAATACATTACTTCCACCAGAAAGTTATAAGTGAAGGTCCTCTGTCCTCAGTTCCTGTGCAAAGTGATCACATATGCTGTTGGCACTATTGACCCGCCTCCCGAACACACACCTGGCCAGCCCACCATGGGAACCAGCCCTCCTGTATACAAACGACAGCGCTCACTCTTTCCTAATGCCTTCAAGTGGCCACAGGTATTTTGGGTTTCACTTATTTGAGAGGTTTTTTTTTAATAGTGGCGATTGCTCTGGTGTGGTTTGCTCCTTCTTTCCTATCAAGCATCCATCATCCTAATAAATCTTTCCTCCTTTTTTACGTTTGTAACTCTCTTGCAACACCTGTAATCTTTAGCACTTGTATGACCTAATTGCATTGCAAGTGGCGTAAAACGATTACTAAAACACACAAAAAAAGATAAAAGACATGACTATATGAAAAGGATGTCTCAGACATTTAGGAAAGTGGACCATATGTATTGTCCATTTACACTCTTGATGGAAGAGATTGCCCTCTTCTACCACTGAGATAGTAAAGGGAATACAGAAGAAGAGAAAAATGGAGAGGAGGAGGTGGGTGGTTCAGTAATAAAAATATCAGTTGATATGAAGACACTAACATTTATCTTTTCATACTCAATGACTAGTTCTCCTTATCTGATTTTATCCTGTGTTTGCTTTGTAGCCATGCAGCATTCATTATCCTCCTGTTCTTTGTTGGAATGGAAGACTTGTGTCACAGAGCTTCCAAAAACATAACCTGAACTATCTCTTTTAAAAAAACAGACATCTCAGGTGGTTTGAATACCTGTAGAAAAAAGATATGCTCAAAATGCGCTTGTTCTTATATTTCTGGCATCTGCGTTTGTTGCCTTTTTTATGTCCAAAAGTTGCCGAAAAATGGCAAAAGTTGCCATTAATTTTCAAGCTTTCAACACTCTGTGACGACGTATATATAGCAATAATATGTTGATAGAGGTAACTTAATCTAAAGCATCGTAATTTCTTGTGCTTTGCACAGGTAAAAATGTGAAAAATAAAGGTTTCACAACAGAATGAAATCAAAATTAGAACAGCACATAAACATCCACAAAAATTAACAAATATGAGGGCCAATTCACATGTAGAAGTGTGCGATGACGGCACGGTGCCGGTTTCTTTTTTCTTTTTTAAAAGTAAAAAATCGCGACCGCGATTCTCGGACCAAAAAATGCCAAAAATCGCGACCGCGGGTCACGGCCGCGACAGACATAGATGCTAGATATTTATGAATGTAGGTGCCACTGGTAGATCCACCTACTTTTTAAACTCTCTGTTGTTTCAGTCTGTTTTGGTGTTTTCTAACGCTAGATGACAGCTATTTTTGTGTCAATGTGCTTATCCCTACTCAAACATGCGAACGCTTGTGAACGATTTTGTGTTAAAAATTTTATTTTATGGCATCCCCTTGTGATGTTGAGAAAAAATGATGGATGATGGATGGTAAGTGGGGGTTACTGTTCTGATTTACTTCTGTTCCTTCCCTCTGTTGTTTCTGCCGCTGAATGGCAGTTGTCAGGTTAATATGTTTCTTTTACTCAAACAAACAGATTAACAAGAGTTGTATTTTGTAATGCTTAGAAAAATTCTTCACAGCTGCCCATGCATATGGACAGTTGAAGTGAAATAAAACAAAACATTCCTTAATGAAGAGAGTCAGAAACCTAAGATAATCTTTAGAGTATAAATCTTTTGCAAGTCGTTTTTTTTTTCCCAGGTTATTCTTTAACATCAGTTGCCATCCCTGTCTTTTTCACGTCTGGCTATTTAATTTGAGGAAACTTATTTTTTTCGGTGGTAGAAAGAAAACTTAAAATGTTCCATTCCATTCTCCCTCTCTTCTTTTCCTCCTCAGGAAGTTTTAGCTCTCGCTAAAGATTTTGGCCTTGACCTGGATTATCTGAAAAGACACCACGTTTGTGAGCTCTACTCCTATGGTCATGACAGACTGGCAGAGGAGGTGAGTATTGTCCTCTCAAGGAGTAAAAACTGTACATAATGTGTCAAGATTGCTCCTGCTTCGATGCTTCATTTCTTTGGGTATTTATTGTTATGTTACTCATTGATATTTTGAATGTCATGGATACTCTTCTTGAAAATTGTCTTTTTTTTTGCTTGCGTTTTATTTTTTAAGTCATGATTTCTTACTTCTGGGTTCAATTACATGGGAACAATAATGTAGAGCAGTATGTTGGAGAATAAGAACTTGGAAATGTTTTTAAGAAATCTCAGAGGGAATTCATTTTGTGCCTGATTCGTTTGATAGCCCTTACCTGTCTGTTGTTCTCATTATGTGGTATTTCTTAATTGTTTCTGTGGAGGTGGTTTTAGGGTGCCTCCTATGGTGGGTCCTACTTCTTTTCTTTCCCCCTAATTGTCTCTGTTTGACTATCTTGCTGTTTCCTAGTGTCATCGTATTTATGAGCTTCTCTTTTCTCATACAAATTCCTCATTTCTGCCTCTCCACAGGCGATGAACACTGTCAATGATCAGGAAGAAATGGGCTTGCAGCTGATGAACATGGCTGGTAAACGGCTGGCCTATGAGATCTTCAAACGAGATATTGACAAGAACTTCCAGCACTTGGCCGGGATGTCCCCTACACTGACTCGGTGGATGAAAACTCTGGTAAGTTTGCTGATTGCTTTTCCTTGTTCCACATTATTTACATGAAGCATCTGCTCTGTTTGGAAGAACATTAAGTCCACTTTCCCTGAGATGTAGTTGGAGAGCACAAAAATCAGAGGAGGAAGAGGAAAAGGGGGGAGGAGAAGAAGAAGAAGAAGAAGAAGAAGAAGAAGAAGAAGAAGAAGAAGAAGAAGAACAAGTAGAAGAGGAAGAGGAGGAGGAGGAGAAAAAAGGAAGAGAACAAGGAAAAGATTTTGGTTTGAGATACATAATACTTTTTTCTGTGCCATGGCACAACTAATCAGAACGATGTATTCATTAGTAACACAAGCATGCTGGCAATTTTTTTCCCTCCAGGACTTGAACACCCTTCACTTCCCACTGGTTCCCCTGTCCAACACTGTGCTCCTGGCGGAGCAGGCTGCGGCTCGCCTCAACGAGTCCTCTGTCCATCACGAGCTGTCTCAAGAGCTTTTTGAACAGACCAAAATGGTTTCGGATTTCCAAGAGCCATGAGGGGACGTTTGGGAGAAATTGATCAGGACCGAGAAAGTAAAATGTAGACCTGGCTAAGGAAAGAAAGGAGTGTACAGTAGACTTCATTTGACATATCCTCGTTATTGCAAGAACACATGAGATACTGATTGACCTTGCTCTACACGGTGAATAATAAAAACTCAAGAGTCTATCATTTTTCATATAACAGGAATGACATACCTTACTTGGCTAGTGTAAACCTTCTGTTAGTGTTAGCTTTAGTAAACTTGAAATCTAAGTGTGAATTCAGTCATTGTGCTGTCTTATACAATACATCCTATTAGCCATGTGGAATAATAATCAATTCAAAAGATCTTGAATTTCTAAAAAATTTTGATCTCTGACCCCAAGTTTTTTCCAGGCTCAGGACTTATTGCTCATTATACTGACGCTAAAGAACTTTCCTGCTTGTCTTCTCATTCACTCCTTAATGCAGCTTGTAAAAATTCCACAATCTGAATTTTTTTTGAAGTCGTCAGTTTTTCTTCATTTTATTTCCATTTTTCAGCCTTTTTCGAGGTGCTGCCCTGTTCACCTTCTCGTATTTCTACTGGTAAAAGGAGGAACCCACCTAGGTTGTAAGTTAGTGGGGTAGGCAGGTCATGGGAAAGTTGTGCCCTACCAGTCAGGTTCTTGTACAGGTCATGGGGAAAGTTTGACTCAATCAGTACACTTATTGTACAAGTTGTTGGAGAGTTCTACTATACTTGTCAAATTGTTGTTCAAGCCATTGGAAAGTTTTCCTCTTGTTTTGTCCCAAAATGTTTAGCACCAGTGGTGACATCGATTTCCATCATGTAAACATTTTCATAGAGAGGGACAAATGTGCTTCCTAAAGATGGATAGACAGATAAAATTAAATGTTCTCCAAAGTTTCTTATTGGGGGGTGGGGGCTCTTTTGCAGCTCCTGTCCCTGAGATTTGAGATTTTAGTGTTGTTTTTCCAGTACACTAACTTTTTTCCTTAGTACTTTTTGTCTTTCATTCGTGATTGCTGGTTTGTGATATAATATGGTAATGTTTATGTACCCCACTGGTAATCTCTTGGAGAATATTATATGTGCTTCTACTTTCCATTCATCTCACGGTATAGTCATTCTCTCATTAAATTTGATTTTTGTGTCTGTTGTCTTGAAAGCATTTTAGTATTTTTGTTGTTGGAAATATTCTACAAAATGACCTTTGTGACTTTTTTCTTCTTGTGTACTCAGCGTTTGTCAGCCTGAACAAATATGACTCTTTTTGTACACATATTCTTGCAAAAATAACGCCTGTGCCTGCTTTGCACATTTGCTTTGGCAAAGAACGAAAGAATCATACTATACTCCAGAGGACAAGCATTCTGCATTTTGTTTTCTTTCTCTGTATTGTATAAGTTCACTGAGTGGCCTAGACAGGTCAATATTCTGTCCCCGCGGTTTTATGCAAAAAAATTTCTGAAATTATGCAAACTTAAACCAAAAATGTGAAATTATGGGATTCTGTTAATTTTAACAAAGAATGATAAAGGAAAATAATCAGAAATAATGCAAAAAATGGTCCAATTTTGCCAAATTATGCAAGGTGCATAAAACCACGTGGACAGAATATTTAAGTTTTCACATGAATTTAGGCAGGTAGGTATATTTAGATATTGCAAATGTTTTCACAGGAATAAGGCAGTGTAAATGGATCTATTATATACAGTCGAACCTGCCTAGGTAAATGCTGTTTTACCATGAAAGGTAGTCAGTCTTCCTTGTTAAACACATTTAGTTTTTTTTAGCCTTGCACACTGTCTTTCTGATCTGAGATGCTTTATAGAATTTAACACTCACAGAAGCTGTGAAACCTCCCTTTCCTCCCTCCCTTCCAAAGAAAAAAAAATTTAAGGGGTCTAATGGCAGTCCTAGGCTTGTTTTCTTAATTTTCGTCAGAGGATGTCAACCTGTCTGAGACAACCTCTTTCCCCGTTGATAATTGGTCTTAGATCATTTTGACTATTGATATTTTCACAGGAATGAGACAGTTATATAGATCTATGTGAGGTTGTGTTTTAGGAATTGGGCTGTCATTCATTGATATATATTATTATTGATGTTTTTACGAGAATACGACAGTGTCTCAGTGCAAAAGTGCAATATACTTTGTCTCTTTAGTTTGAGAAAATCATTTTCCTTCCTTCTTTATGTACAGTATAACAAGGATAGCTCGAATTCGTCAGGACCGGCCTCGGTAGTTCGAGGGATACTTGAACAGTGTTATGGCCTCGGCCGTGTCAGAGAATCGAGGGAAGCAATAAAGATTGCTTCCTTAGGGGCAAAACAATAGATCATGTGATGCACAACCCTTCCCTCTCGACGGCTCCACACAAGCCAGCTAGGCCTAGGACCAAGGCACGCGTGTCGAGCAGTTCGCTAAAAATAGCACAGCTAGCTGCTTCTGTGGAGGGGGGAAGGTGGTGTTTTACCGACCTTGCCTTTTTCCGAAAATTATTTTGTCTCGTGTGCACCTCAAAGGACGTTGATTTTTTACCTCTACGGCCATGTAATTTAGTTCGACTATTCTGTGTTTGTGTTCGAGCTTCGCGTAATTCTCTTACAAAAATAAAGAAGAAAAAAGATCCGGACCGCAGGCACAGTTTGATGGATGTGGGTGGTTGGCGGGTGCTCTGGTGAGGTTTGCTCCTTCTTTCCTATCAAACATCTATTGTCCTTATCTCCCCTCCTTCTTTTTTATGTTTGTTACACTTCTGGCGCTTATATGACCTTATGCAGTTGCGAGCGCCGTGAAACCTCTACTAAAACAAACAGTTCGATGGATGTGTGATTTTGAGTCTTCTGTGTTCGACCGATCCGTGTTATACTGGTATTCATGTATGAAGAGAAGGAAAGTAAATGTTCTGTAACAAAGAAATACTTCACCATTTTTTGAACTAGATAATACTGCAATGTTTCTTCCTCATGATAAGCTTTTTTCTTCTGGTTTTAAGTGCCAGCAACAAGGCCTGTTCTCACCATTTCTCCTTTTTGATCTACATCCATTCTGTTCTTTGCTTGTTATGCAAAGTCAATTTAAATGTAATGAGCAGATGGAGATTTCTGAGTTCTAATAAATTTCTTTCACTGTAGACTTTAATAATATAGATCTTATCAACTGTGCCAGATTCTGGGCCTGCAAACACAAATCAGGCTCATTTATTTTTGGTATGTGTCAAATCTATCACAACGTTCATTATTCATTTCTTGTAATTTGAATAAAATTTATTGGTACGCAATGACTGTGTTTGTCGTTTTTAAAGTAAAATGCCTAGACGGTTGCGGTCAAGTTAATGGTCGTGGTTGTCTGTATTCAGGACATATATAGAGGAGCTTAAATTATGGTTGTTGGGAAACTTGTATACATTTTCAACTGAAAAGTCTTGTTCTTTTCTTCTTGGGTTTGGCAAATTTCACTGTCGGATCAGGAAGATTTGATATCACGATCATGAAAGACTGTGACAGATTTGTCTGTAGAAGTTTTCAGCTTGCTTGACCGACTTTTACACGTAACTGGTGTCTGTGGTGTAATGATCTTTGCTTTTGCAATTTGAAGACATGAGTTTACTAAACTGGTTTGATATTTTATGGAGTTCCTCCATCTGCCAACTGCTGTATCCCATTCAGCCTGACAAAGCAGGTTGAAGAAGCCTACTATTTAAATTATCTAAATGTGTTAATATTGGCTTTAAAATATTTAATTTACAATCAAACACCTTATGACTGTGAATGGAGTTCTAAAATACAGTCAGTTATGTCAAGTCAGCACAATAATCGACACATCTCTCCAGGACCACGTGGGTGTCTTAATAATAATTATGGATAGAAGTTTTAAAAAATCTTAGGGTAGTTCAATCTCTACATTATTTCAATTTGGTCAATGGACAGCCAACAACGTGAAATGAATCAACAATGCCCTCTATATATGTAGTATGATCAATAGTACATTTATTCATCCTCTGTGTTTCAAACTTGTGTTTGATATACAACTTAAACTGTGAGACAGTCTTTGAAACAAACTAATTTCTTAAAGATATAATTAGTTTCATAACAACAAAAAATCGAGAACAAAAAGAAAAACAGTACCAAAATGTGTGGCTTACACAAAGTTTTCCACATCACTATCAACTAAGGCATGGTGAAAAACAAGTTAAAGCTTTCTGTAGACTGAGTAGAGTTTGGAAAGTTCTAGGCTAAGAAAACAGGTTTGGACATGATTCTGCTTCTGGGAATTCTTCATAACAGTGGAGCATAAAATGAACACACGTGAGAGTTCAAATTATTTGTTTCAAACCTGTTCTCATGGCCACCCATCGAAGACAATCACCTGTACAAAAGACCATTTTCCACTCCTCCCCCCCCCCACCCCCTTGCATTTTTTCTACATTATAAAGACACTTTTCAAGATGTCCACCTGTCTAAGACAACCACTTTTCTCCTCAACAATGGGTGGCCATCTTGGACAATTTCGACTGTATAATAATCTCAGCTGTATGATGGGGAGCAAGAATCTGTTAATGAACAACAGGCTTATATCAGCCTTATGAGAACAGCCAAGCACAAGATCAAGCTACGTCAGGAGATTTTGACGTTGAGGAGCTCAACTGAATGTATTTAATTTAAATTAAACTGAGAGGTATAATACATACACTCATTTCACCCATTTGTGATGCACACTCTTATTAATCAATAATTTCAACTGTACAAGAGGGAGCAAGATCTGTGAAATTAACAACAGGCTTATCAGAACAGAGCCTTGGCACGTCAGGAAATTTCAACATTGAGAAACTCGACTAAATGTGCATTTAAACTGCTAGGTACATGTACATAACATTTGGTAAGTTAAGTATTTGTTATTGAGTGTCATGAGGCCCAGTCATCAGCCAGGGAGTTCATGCAACGATCACAGGGCGCTCTACTTGATGTGGCCGTGTAGCGACGGCATCGCTCACACAGGTTCAGGGCGGCTGACATGAGGAGGACCTTGTAATCTACTTCCTCTGCTGTGTCTGAAACCACAAAGATGAACAAAAATGATACAACTGAAGTGAGTCTTTCCAAAACCAGATGATTTTCTCACATACCACTACCCAGTTTTAGAAATACTCATAAGATTATTTTTTAATTAATGTCGCCTTGGGACAAAGTTGCATTTTCAGTCAGTTTCACTTAACAAACAAAAACACTGGCACTAAAGAAAGCATTGTCAGGGTGGACTGGACAAAAAGGAAAGTAACTGGTTTTTCTCAAATTTGACCCAGACTTAAATGGTCAATATCTAACTCTGAATATAAGATAATGACCTTCTACATCTTCTTTGCACCAAATATGATTTTAATTCTAGCTTGATCTCATCAATTTGAGCTTTTCAAGCTCCTGCAGGAGTCTAATGCCCTTATACTCAATAGACACAAACAGAAAATTTGGAAAAGATATCTCTACACTGGCACTTCGCTGTTCGCTAACTAGACGAGACTCCCAGTTGACAGCTCAGCATTAAAATGAACTGGACAGAAGATAAAGTAAGAAAGTGAATAGACATCAAGCCTATGTCAAAGTGATAGTTATCCACAAGCAGGATAAAAAGTTTGCTAATTTCTAAAGACATACTGCTTGTCTCAAATAAAAAGTTTGTTCCCAAACTTTGACAAATCTTTTAAGTAGCCACTATTTTGAAGATCAATTTCTTGTTTTCTCAAATAAATTGTTGTAAGGTGTGTCAAGTCCTTAAAGTAACCATTATTTTGATAATGGAATTTTCTCTTTTTCAAATAAAAAGCTCTTACTTGTGATATCCTCCACGTCTGAGCAGCCAGAATTTTGATGATGTTTGTTTTGAAGTGTGAGGAATCCTTAACACAATCTATATTTTAATGAAGTACGATATTTTCGACTGTCAAAGATTGGAAAGCAGCCTGCATGAGGTAGAGTTTAATACCAGTACCTGAGCCCTGGATTCTGGTAGATCCTGCCAGTATCACAGCATCGTCTGGGATGGAGCGTGGAGCTTTGTCCAGGATGGTCACCTGTGACGTCTGTAGGACTTCACACACCGGGGAGGTGGACGAGGTGGTCTCAGGCTGCAGCTCCTGAGGGCAAGATTGGGGAGGTGGGGGGTGGTACATCTGTCCTTTAGTTCCTCATAGTGCATGGGTAGTTGACTAAGGCACAAATCACCAGGGTCTGTGAAGGCGTAAGTGACCAGAGTTCAAAGTTTAAAGTTATTTAACTTTGGCACAAGTGACCACGGCTCATAGTTTGTAAGGTTACTTAACTTTGGCACAAGTGACCACGGCTCATAGTTTGTAAGGTTACTTAACTTTGGCACAAGTGACCATGGCTCATAGTTTGTAAGGTTACTTAACTTTGGCACAAGTGACCATGGCTCACAAAAGCAGGAGTGACCAAATTCATAATTTGAAAGTATTTGATTTGGGCACAAGAGACCAAAGCTCCTAGTTTATAGAGGTAGGCCTTCTGTAATAAAGTCATGTGACCAGCTGGTGGTTTGAGGGCACTACTAGTGGAAGGTGCTCCTCCTTTTCTCTCCCTTTGGTGTTTCTATTTATTAGACTTACTTTTCCCCTTCACAATATGACCAATGTGTTGATGTGCTTCCCCTTACTCAAATTCTTAAAAAGCTCTCAAATAACCAGTGGTAAATCCACAGAGGGTGTTCCTCAACTTACTTATGTCGTAGACATCAGGCTAATGCTTACATTATAAGCAACTTGGCAAACAAAACCTATAGGAGGGTAGGCTGCTCTCTCTTCTCTCTTCGTAAAGTGTTTTACAGCGCTTGCAACTGCATAAGGTCATATGAGCGCGCGGGACACACCTAATATTTTCAGTTGGTAGGAAATTTTGAATTTTGCCCGGGTGGCGGCCGAAGCCTACTCTTATCGATTTTAGACCACCAAGGGATCTTTAACGTGCGCAACTTGCACACGGGCCCTCCGAGATTTTTCGCCCTTGTCCGAGAAGGCTAGGTGTAGATCTTTCCTACCAGAAAATCAGGGGTGTGGCTGAAAGACAGCAGTAAGAAGAAGTCAAGGAGAAGCAGTAGAAAGGCTGAAGAAAGAATCAGGAGCCCAGAGGAAGGGGCAAAGGAGGTGAGGGGGTGGGGGAAGAAAGAGGAGACGAAAGCAGGCGACAGAACATTGCTAGAGAGCAGGAAATGAGGTGAAAGGAGACAAATTTAGAGAAGAAAATTTTTCGGTTGCTACCCGGATTCGAACCCGGGACCTTTTGAATGAGAGGCCAACACCTTAACCTCTAGGCCACGAGAGCCCCCCGGGTAGGCTGCCTTGACAGAGTGCTGTGGAAATAATCTGACTATTCTCTACCAAAATAATGCAGAACCTCAGCTACTAGATGTAATTAAAACAACCTTTGAAAATAAATTTGGCTGTCTGAAAAGAAAAAGCATTAGACAGTGTATTATAGGAGGGAAACCAGATAAACTAGTAATAATAAGGCTCCAGAATTTTGGAAATATCTAGATATTTTTCCTTTTATAAGCTTCTACTCTTGGAGGCCAGCAGCAACAACAAATTTAGCAGTTTTCTGTAGCATGTCCACCAGTCTGTATAACTTTTCTAAGAGCCAAAGCTCTTCTCTCACATTATGGTGTTTCTTGCAGGTCTCCAGGACATGTTCAGTGGTCTGGTCACCTGCTCTGCTGGGGCATTCAGAAGACTGGACCTAGAAATATCTGGATAAGTGGCAAACCTGTCTAAAATTAATAATGGCACAACTTTCTAGGCTTACCCTAAGTAGGTCGTGCAGCTGAGGACTGCTGTAGATTAAAGTGTCAAAGTCCACGGGACTTTCTGTCCCCAACTCCTCCAACAGATCTCGCCGGATGTCAAAGACGGGCATCAGGCGGTGTGCGGCATCAGGGTTATTCCACGCCAGGTCTGGGGTGCACCAGCCAAGCTTGAAGATGCTGTCAGTGTCTGAATCTGCGTCATCGTGACCGGGGATGTACTGGAAGATCTCCTCTGCCAGATGGGGCATCACTGGGGCGAAAGCACTCGTCAGAGTCCTGGCAATGTGGTACTGAACCGTTTGGCTTGACCTTCGAACTTTGCTGTCAATGTCGCTACAGTAGCACCTGTGAGGAGACAGTTGAACAAAGTAATACAAGCAATAGTAGTACTGTACTGAGCTGCCTTCCACTCTTCCTTTCTCCTCTATATCATATATCTCTTCCTTCAAGCTCAGTTCCTATCTCAGGAGGAGAGGGCAAAGAAGGTGGAGAAGAAGGAGATAGATGAGGAGGCAGAGCAGCAGCAACAGCTAAAAAAAAAGAAGAAAAGAGAGAAGAAGAAGAGGTCAAACTGACATGTGCACAAAGAAGAGAGAAAAATGTCATACACAGCTATTGAACACAAAATTCTGAACTTTCAGACTATTGCAATCCTGGAAAGTTCAGGAAAAATTTCACCTTTACCACATTCATAGTAATAAAGTAAAACAAAACTCACCTGTCTCTTGTGATATTGATGTAAAAACTTGACAGATCAGAATACACAAACTTTTCAATGTTTTGGATGACTTTATGGTAGCTTATGCTCTCATAGGCTTCGTCTATCTGAAAAACAAGAGAGGAGATTCCATAAACACTTAATTCACATCATAACTGCAATAAGTTATCACAAAAAAGAACATCAAGTGATAGGAAAATGGCCTCTTATTAAAGACCACTCTCAGAAAACTTTGCAACCAATATAAAAATAAATGACTCGACAACTCCAAAGCAAAATCACTATCATGGGAACCACCATCGTCACCAACTAAGTCCCATAGTAAAAAAAAAAAGTTTGCAGAAGAAAACCTCTAAAAAATCTTAAACAACAGCATAAATATCACTGCAGAATCAAAACAAATGCTGGATCTAAGAAAATAAGATGAAATTTTGAAGAACAGCCTTAAAACATAACTCTGAAAAAGAACACAATTTTCTTTGATTTTACAACAAAGGAAAAATGTTGGGAGAGCGCCAAGAAAAAAATGACCTGGAGGAAACCACTTGGAGAGGAGAACGAAACACTGGATATTTCAACCTGAAACCTTTGACCTCTGTTTATCTCATTCGTGGAAGTTTTCAGTTTAGATCCTCTTCCTACAAATCTCTGGAGGGGTTTTCTTTTGTATAAAATGACAATCAGTTTATTAATAATAATAATAATAATAACAACAACAACACCTACAACAATAATGGTAATAAGCATAAAACAAAAATAATATTAATAATATAATAATAATAATGATCATATTGACGACGGTGATCATGGTAATAAAAACAATAATAATAACAATCATGATTTCAACAATAATGATGATGGTAACAACAATCTATATATCTATTATCTATTTGTGGTGGTCGAATTTTGCTATTCAAAAGGCTTTTTAATAGCTGCATTGATTGACATGCAGTTTTCGCCAAAAGATTCTTTAAAATATTCCCCAGATCATGACGCCCTACATTTTTTCAGTTTTGAGACAGTTTTGCTGCAAAAAGCTAAATTTCTTTATTTCGCCGATCGCTTTTGTAGGCCGAGGCTTCTGTCTCTGTAATTTTAGAAAATCCGCCAGGTTTGTTTATTTCAAGTCGTACTTCCGTTCGATACTATCGCGCATTGTCGCGCAGTACGGAGCATTATTTTAAGTGTGCGACCCGTATAGATCTAGCCTCATGTTTTCTTTTTTTACCAATGACTTTCAGTTGATGTTAATGCACCGATCATTTCTTTCATCGAAAGGGGGCCCAGCTAGTATATTATATTTGTGAAAGTTCGTCTCTTTGGTCGTCTAAAACTTCCGAACCACTTAACTGTCGCATTTTAACAAATTAACAGTGGTTCAGAATCATTAAAAGAGTGCACAGTTATATTAAGGAGTCTGAAGTCACTGTAGTTTAATTTACTGTTCTTCATTAGTTTCGTTCAGATCTGATCTTGGAAAGTCCGTCTTCTAAGACACAGTTGTAAAACAAGTAAGGATTCCGTTCACAAGCAGTGCGCACTGGTACCACAATGATTTGACAATCGATTCTTTCGAGTCCGTTCATCGATCGGGTACCAAAGTAGTCATAAACACTTGCAAACTCTCTCCCACTCACCTGCTGCATGGTGGTAGAGAGCACATAGAGCATGTACTGGTCTACTGCCGTCATCTCATCATAAGGCACTGAGTGAACCCCTGGCTCAAAGTCAAACAAGTTTCCCAGGAGGTGGCGCACACATTTTCTAACCTGAAAACATCCAGATCATTGACTCGGACATTCTCTTTCAAAATGACATATAAAATTTGAAAAGCGTAAGTAAAAAAAGTATGTAAAATATATTGTGGTTGGCTTACATAATTTGAAACTATTGTTGCTAAAAAGTGCTATTAGGCATTACTCTAGACCCCTGTAGTGCAACATAGTCTTTTGAGTTGATTAAGGGATAACTTTAAAAAACATAACTGATAATCTTTTAGAACTGGCAAACGTAAGTTATTCACGCCAAACAATTTTAGAACACTGGGTTTAAAATTTTAGGACCAACACATGTCAGTTCCAAAGACATAAACAAGGGAACTTTGCCCCATCTCAACAAATGCTTCAGTTAATATTTCTCTTGTGTTCAACTTTCTTCAGCTGAGACATTATGTAAGTCGAGTATGAGGTAACATCTTCTTTACTTCTTTGGGCAAGGTGAGACAGTTGAACAGTACCTACCTTAAAGACATCTTCATGAAAACGGCTTAAAATGCTGGGCCCCACTTGAATCTGCTGATGATGATGGCTGTGGGCAACCCACCAACGTAACACGTCGACGCCATATGACGGAGACGTCTTTTTGTTCTGTTCAAAACACACAAACACACACATACATATATTTATTATATATATATTTAATTATTTAAAATATATTCAACACAAAAAGACATTCAAAACCAATCACACTATGATGAATTCAAAGTCAGCTTAATAAAAGATGATAATAATAATAATAACAATAATATTAATTACAATAATATTAACTCTCTTCCTACCAGGCCAAAATCCACCACTGGCCCAGGGCTGTTCCCTGACCTATTTTTACGCCCCTACTCCATCAAAGGATAATGTCAAAACATCCAACTAAACACACACAAACCATATTTTATGGCCCATCAAACTGAAAGTTAAAAAATAATCTATCAGATGACGATACAATATTGAAGATTCATTCCAATTATATTACTTTGGGGTTCTAAAAGTGATTATGCAATATCGAAGGTGTCATATGAAATCAACAATTTTCCAGCTTTGAAAGGTCATATCTAAAAAAAAAACCAACAACAGCATCATTCAAACTTCCGAGGTACGTTGCCTCAAGTAATGCGAAGAAATGCTGAAAGTTATGTATGTGTACCTAATATAGAAGTAAAAATATGAGAGATATACTGAAGTCAGGGGAGCGCTTTTCTTCTTATAGTTTTACATGTCGAAGGGGACAAAAAAAGCGCTGAAATGACTAAAAAATCATCTATCAGTGCTATAATTTTTTTCGTATCTGCTAACAGGAAGTCTATTCTATTATTTTGAAAACGTGGATCGGCCGAGAATTTCGTGTCTTTTCATTACTGGATTGGAATAGATAGCGAGCCACTCGAGCCGTATTTTGCGGCTCTCGGTCCAGCGAGGCCAGGTCCGCGAGCCGCAAAATGCGGCTCGTGGTAGGGAAAGTGTTAATAATGATGATGATGATATTAAATATAATTAGTCTGTCAATGTCCGAAGACAACCAATGTATCTGCAGAGGAGGATATAATTTCTTAAAAGAAAAATATACTCACGTCATTTTGAGCAGACATCAGAATTGAAAAGAAAAGTAGTTGAAAGATGGCTTGCTTTGTTTACTCGTTTTTGACAGGTGACCCATGATCAATTCCTTTGTGCGCAGAACCCGATTTAGATCACTGTAGCTTATCACCGGTTTTCTCGGATTGATGAGTCAATCATGGACAATCTCTGAAACCTTAAAGAGGGGGAAAAAAAAAAGAAAGAAGTGACACCTACCTTCCCCCCATTAATGACCTCCTCAGGATCCGTTACATTCCCAACAGACTTTGACATTTTCTTGCCCTCCTCATCAGTGGCAAAACTATGGGTGACAATTTGCCTGGAGCAAAGAAACAAAAGAGAAATCTACATGTATAAATGTTGGGAAATTTGAGACATTGCTGAAGTGAATTATAGCATGGACCATTTTTTCCCAGATGTCCTCTCCACTCTTTTCAAGACGCTTCGCTTACTGTACAATGGATACTTTTTTTCACACACTCTTGTTTTTTGTGTTTTTCCAATTTCGTTTTTTGCTTACTTTTTACAAAAAAGACCTTTATCCTCATTTTGAACAACTGAATTGTAGTCACACAGAGTCAATACAATAACCGGCTTATCAAGCAGGAAACATAAATATAACAGCAACACCAGTTGTTGCAAACCACATAAAAAACATCCACATACCCACTTCAAACAAAACAGTTTCAATAGGCCAATGCTGTGACTGTGTACGTGAAGAAAGTAAACCATATGATGTACATCAAAAGTTCTCATTCCTTCTTAATGTAAAAGTGAAACTAATGTAAACAGAGGAAAATGAGAAGATAGCAGCTTCTTCACTAATTACAAGCTCCCTAATCACACGGATGAGGCAATACTAACTTGTATGGAGCTCTGCCATTAACAGCCACACTTGTCAACAAGGATGTCTGGAACCAGCCTTTGAACTGGTCGATTCCCTCCAGGTAAACGTCCGCTTGACCTCCGACCTCTGTAGAGCAGACCAGATGTAATTGACCATAAAGGATTGCAAATGTTTTACACTATCATCAACACAATATAGATCCCTTAGGAGAGATGGGATGCTTTGACCATCCCAGGATGCCAGGCAACAGCAGTTTACATATATGCTGAATACAGCAAAATGACCGACAAAAGAGAAAGATAACAGTACACTGATCACTAGTAGAAAAAGTAAAGGAGCTACTACTTGTGTACTGACCAGGGGTAGAAAGAGAGGAGGAAGATAGCAGTATACAGACCAATAGTAGAAAGACAAAAGGAGGTCATAGTGGTATACTGACTAAGGGTACAAAAAGAAAGATAGCAATATACTGACCTGCGAGAACAGATGCCCACGAGACACCGCTGTCAAACCAGATGTCTAGAATGTCCTCTCCTCTGCTGTAATCTGAACTCTGACCTTTGCCTAGCTGAAATGGAACATATTTTTGTAAGTTCATTTTTAGTTGACACTTTCACAATTTTTACTATTATAAACTCTGTTCAGTTCGTTTGTCCACGGCTCAGCCACTCATGTTAATTCAATGTCAAACCATTCCTCCTCAGAATGCAACTCATAAGAGTTAGTTAAGCACTGGGATCACAATGCATACAACAACTCACAACACACAGCATACTCATAATGCAAACAATATACTCATAACACAAATAATATAACCATAACACATACAACTAACAGGTCACACAATACACTAACAACACAAACAATATATTTACAGCATACTCATAACACATACAGCATATGTACTCACAACACATACAACATACTCACAACACATACAACATACTCACAACACATACAACATACTCATAACACATACAACAAACCCACAGCATACTCATAACACATGTAACACACTCACAACACATATAACATACAACACATTTAACACACTCACAACACACAACATACTAACAATACACAATACATGCAGCATACTCACATATGACATACCTACAGCACCCTCACAAACCAACAACAACATACCTCTGCCAGTAGTCGGTCAGGTAACAGCTCTGACACTGGAAGAGTCCACCAGCAGTCTGGGCTCTGAGTCCTGAACAGTTCCTTCAGATGGTCCACAGTTTCTCTACAAGGCAAGAAAGAAACAGCCTCTATAAAGTGTCATACATAATAAAAAGCCACAATTCGTCAAAGTCATTTCACAAATTTTAGTTGTTACACCCTGGGACTACTAGTAATAGGTATTGCTATATTGTAATCAGGAAATGACATTCTCCCCACCCACTCATCCCTCCCCAAAGCCATTGAAATGTCACTGTACCGTTAGGAAGCATCTTCAAGAAAGAAATCATACCCTTGGAAAAGAAACTTTACCAAATATTTTCTCAGTTTACTCTGCTGCAAGTACGGGTACTCTGCAATCAGCAGAGATGGAGAGTGTGAATGACAGCGATATTTGCCTCACAGCTGCAATATTGTACATCCCTTGAGTATTCCAGAAAGTTATTGTCAATGCCCATCAGCTTCCTATCAAAAGGAATATGGAAGTAAAGGGAATCATTTTAATTTCAAACATTTTCCGAAGGTATAGCTGCAAAGCTGACTGGCATCTGTGGAGTACTGGTTAGGCTCTCCAATACTGCATGCAGAAGAAATGAGTTGAGGAAAGTTATTTAATTAAAACTGTTTGCTGGCATGCCCTATCCTGCCCAGCTCTGGCTGGCCCTGACAGGGAGGTTTGAAGTAGCCTGGCTCTTAAATTATCTAAAATGAGTTGGAGGGGGCTTAATTAAAACATTTACTATCATAAGAGACATGAGGCTGACCTTGTGACGAGGGGTTCCCCAGACTCCTTGTGGTAGAACACAGGGATGGGGACACCCCACGTCCGCTGGCGGGAGATACACCAGTAGGGACGAGACTGGAGCTGGGACACCATGCCACCTTCTGACTGAGGCGGTGAGATTTTCACTTCTGACAGGCATTCCTGTAAAGTGAAGCTAATTTTGGATTTGTCGAAAGTGAACCTTGTTTTAGAATGTAACTCAATCCAATTATAAAATTCTACATACAATGTTTAACCCACAAAAAAAGGTACATGTGAACCTTTACTATTTTATTATGAAAACTTAGTTTAACAACACAAAATGCTTTCAAAATGTTACAGATATGTGTTTAATTTATAATTCATGTTGTTTCACGAGAGTCTCTTCGGTAAAATGAGTATGCTATATGTGATGTAGGCCAATGGCCTTAAAACAATGAATAAAATGCCTACCCATCACGTTTTAATGAGTCAGGCTGTTAGCAATGAATTTTACTTGAAGCAGATAAATTGTTGCTCTCGGGTTTACTAGTAACATCCAAGAATATTTCACATGGTCCATGAGTTTGGTATAGCAAATAAGCTAAGCAAGGCTCTCATGGCCAAGAGGATAGTTAGCTCAGGCTTACAATGTCATATACATTTTGTTGACAGAGTGTTTAGGTACATAGTCACATGAGTGTGTCCGTGAGTAAGAAATGATAACCCTAGCTTGAAAACAGGAAGAGGTGATGTGGACATTTAATCATCCATATTTCAACCCTCCCCACACTTTTCTACAAGACTTCTCCGGTCCAGTACAACATATTAAAAAGTAATTATTCAAACCATGTGACCCATCTTTATGACAGAGAAGACTGTTACCAGAGCCTGGTCCCGCAAAGCAGAGACATCGATGAACCATTGTTGACTGGACCGGATTATCACCGGCTTTTTGGTCCTCCAGTCATAGGGGTAGCTGTGGGTGAAGTTCTCCACTTGAAGAACATTCTTTGATAGTGCAGAAAGAACTGTCAGAAACAAAGGGTGTATCTATAGACATACACAGTTGAAAATTATCCAAGACGACAACTCACTGTCAAAGAGAAAAGTGGTAGTCTTAGACAGGTGGTCCCCTAGGACAATGCTATTATAATGAAGAAAAGACTGTTTTGTATTGTTTGCGAAGACTCATAATCCATAGTCATAATTTGGTAACACAGTGTACATATATGAAGAACATTCTGCAGTTCAAAGAACTGAAATAGAAACAGTTACAGTTATGACATTCTTAACTATATGAATATTAATATTAAACCACTGATAGCTGTCCGTCTGTTCTCATTTCACTATTGTTACTTTGAATTCAAGCTTGATTTTAACTAAATTTCTTTCTTTCTTTTTTAAACCAAAAACCTGCACACAAGATCAAAGAAAATGAAGGGTATACAGCACGAATCACCACTTGCTACATCTGCATCATCGCCCACAGTTTGTCAATTACTGAGCAGTTGTCCACCTCTGATGCATAATGACCTTAAGCATAAAATACCCCTCTCCTTCGTGGCCTCCCCCCCCCTCCCTGATCCCTCTCCTTCCTCATTCTCTCTCACCTTTTTTCTCCTACTTCTACTCCACCCCCTTTCCTCACTTCTCCCTACCTCCTCCTTCTCTACCCTAACCTCCTTCCCCCCCCCCCCACACCATGTTCAAAGAGCAATAAAACACTGTACCCACCTACAACAAGTTATTTCTCAGCCAATAACATGTACATAAGATCAAAGAAAAAGAAGGGTAAGCAGCACGGAATGTAAATTTTGCTTTAATTGAAAATCATTACCTGCTTCATTTGCATCATCATCCACAACTTTGCCGACCATTGAGCTGTCGACCCCTGAGGTGTAGCGACCTTGAGCATCCACATGACATTCCTGAGACAATCAATAACAAATTGTTATTTCGACACCGACTAAACATATAAAGATGCTTTAAACCTGTTTTAGTTTTGTAAAGAGTTTTACGGCACTTGCGACACTAACAGGTCACACAAGTGCTGAAGATTAAAGAGTTACTAGAGAGTAATATACAAAGAAAAGAAGGAGGAGAGATAAGGACAGCAGATGTTTGGTAGAAAAGAAGTAACAGACCTCATCATAGCACCCGTCAATCACCCATGAAATAGGAGCATTTCAGATTTGAGGAGAGAAGCAGCCAAACAATACTGCTTTTCTAGACAGTGAAAGGAACCCCTCGACTATTGTTCTTGTTGTTATTAGTCCAGTATGTACCACAAGACACAAATAGGCAAATTTGGAAGGAATTGGACACAGAGGTCAAAGGTGAGAAGAAAGAAAAACGAACGATGGAGGAGATACAACAACAAAGTAAACAGCCCACAGGTACATCAGATCAGGGCATAGACAGTATTTAAATTTAACCCAATTTAAAGGGTATCAACTCTTCATGGTATGCAAATGAATCCATCTGTCACCACTGTCCCCTCCCCAACCATCTTGGATATTTTAAAAAACAAACCGACTTTCAGACTCCTAATGTGAATATAGTATGTACAGCTTAACCCCCCTCCTCTAACCCCCTTCCACTTCCCCTCTCTCTCTACCTCAACCTTCCTCTGCCCCCTAAAAAAAAACCCAAAAAAAACATGAGTTCAAAGTGAATTCAGCCACTGTACTCACCAGTGGCAAGTCATTTCTCACTGCCACTTGAAAATCATCATGTCCATGGGCAGGGGCTGTGTGAACCAAACCTGTGCCCTTTCCAGGAAGAACATGCTCCCCAGGCAAGAATGGTAACTCTTGCTGGTTCAAAGGATGCTTGTAGACAGTGCCCTCTAAAGTGTGCCCTGAAAAGAAGTTGAGGAACAAAGCATGAGGAATGAAATATGATAGTCATAAAAACCTCACATAATATCTTTACATATTTTTACATCAACCCTCAGCCAGCTTTAAGTGTGGGTGGTGAAGGAGAACTGGAAGATTCCTCGTTATCACCTAATAAATGGACTCAGCGAGGTGCATATTTAAAACTAAAACGAGGTCCCTTCAGTTATCTCACATCACTTCACCATATAATAAATGTATTTAGAGGGGTGCAAATTTCATACTTGATCCCCAATCAAAAATCCAAAGGAGCTTATATCAAACAAGACCACCTTAAATATGTAATCTATAGTGGGGTGTATATATCTCAAACGAGGATCAAATCCAGAAAAAGCCATATCCAACAGCATGAAGGTTTAACTGCATCCATCATATCTTCTTGATCCCCTTCCTTCCGGACACCATCCCCCCCCCCCAACTCTCCCCAGCCCAAGGAAAAGAATATTTTGACCAACCAACTCACCATCAACATTGCACAGAAGCTCCAAGTCGCCACCGACAATGGCTTTCAGCTTCTCAACAAAACTCTCTTCACACAGATATACATTAGATGACCTTGCACATTTCAAGAACGCATATCTGAGGAGCAGCGTATAGGATGGAAAAAGTAAATATGTGAGCGTGCCTGGTGAAAGGTACCAAGAGACGGATTTGTTCGAACACAGATATCAGGCTTCAAAGGTCAAAAATATAATAAAAACTAAGTTCCATTAAAAATGGATTCTTTAGCCATTAATATATCGATATTTACAAGGACTTAAGTTTCTTTTACTTTAAAATACATTTTTAAAGATGTTTTTAACACAAGGTATATCGCATAATCCCCCAAAATGAGTGACAAAATTGGTTCTCCGAGGAAACACAGCGGGTGGTTTCTCTTGTCCATTCATAAAGTTGACCCAATCACAATGCATACCAAAATTTAGGTAATTCTCTCCCCTCTCTAATGGCGAGTAGTGTGCATGAATATCTAGAACAGGTAAACAAAGCGAAGCTTTGCGCATCCACAGCCATTCGTTTTTTTTTGGACAGCAAACTTGTAATTATATCGCCAATTTCTGTCCTGCGCAAACCTTGATCTCTAATTTCTTGAAAATTCTTGCTCAAGATGGTGGTGAATTTGTTTTGAAGACGTAATATAAACACTTTGAAGCTGTTTTTTTATCCTAGCTGCTTTTTAAAGTTGATTTGTGAGTAGTGAATGTGTTGTCAGGTCGTCTCAAAGTGTAGATCAGTCTATCTGAAGCAGAAACAAAGGGGAAACTTTGAAGCTGTTTTTCTCAAAACTTTGTTTCCGTACCCTGTCTTACAAAATCACCCATATCTAAAAAACTACTGAAGATATCTTAAAAATTCAAAAAGCATATTGTTCAGAAATGATCTGTGTATATGAAAATGCAAAAAAACCCCAACAGGATTCTCTAAAATGTGTCATTCGGTATTTGGTACTTTCACCAGGCACACACATATATAAAAAAAGGAGTATGTACATGACCAGCTTAAAAATCTTGACAAAGTGCCATGGAATTTCAGGCAATCTATTCCTCTTCAATTTGTCCAGCCCCTCCCCCCACCCAAAAAAAGAGCCCACCATACGCATACAAACATCCCAAACCACCTAAAATAAACAACACATTGACTAAGTTTCTTTCCTCCAACTCCCGTCCCCGTTGTTTCCCCTGAAAACTTCTTCTTGCTTTCATTCAAAGTGCTTCTACATTCTAATCCATCATATATTATATATATCTACCATTCTCCTCTCTCCACTATTTCACTTACACTCTAGGAGGTTATACTGTAAGGTCCTTGCTTACACTAATACTCCAGGGACACTTGAATCGACATAAAAGGTCTTGAATGTCTTTTTCTCCCTGTGAAAATCTAAGGCAAAGGAAGCAGAGGTAGACTGTACGGTAATCGTGAGATTGCGGGTTCGGGGGTTCGGGCCTCAGATCGGTCCAACGTTGTGTCCTAGGGAAAGGCACTTTGCACGAATTTCACACTTTGCACGAATTTCTCCCTTTCAGAGACGGAGGTTAAACTATGAGGTCCCGCCTCTTAAAATAACCTAAAAGTGTTGATAGGGGCGTTAAACCCATACCATTTCAGAGTTTGACTAAGACTTGTTCCGTACGCAGATTTCTCTCCGTTAGGTAGAGAAGTGTTAAACAAATGGGTGACGAGAAAAGACTATAATAGAATATTATTTGTCTTTTAAGAGTATTTAAACAGGGAAATTGTACGTGTAGAAGTAACTTGTCATTATTACTATCATATCAATAATAAT